GGAAGGCCAAATAAAGTGCTTTTGCGTTCGCCTAGAAACACACAGCGTCTCCCTGACATGCTGCTTCAACACTAACTGCGGTTACTGAAACCACGCCTTCTTTCTTTGCGTGCACATTTGGGCACATTATGCAAATATTCACACATAGTGAGGTAGATATGTGGGGGCGTGTTAGAACGAGCCATTTTAGGGGGGTGTGGCAGAGTCTTAACTTTTATAAAGAATATCTCTTTGGATTTGAGACTTTAGTCTTTGCAACTTCAGGGATCTTATCTATGCACAATCAGCTTGTAACTCTCCAAAGAGAAAGGAAAACTTGAAATCGCATCATATGACCCCTTTAATTTATCAGGATTTATTTTCAATTTTAGTCTAGCTCTGTGTTCATCTGATTCCAAATTCAGATGATCATTAAATTTAGGAGGTATTTCTAATTAAAAACATCACAAATGTCGATTATGTATTAATTTTGATATTTGATTATTCTGAAAATCCCATACTTTTAATTATTCGTTCATCAACGTCCTGGTATTGCTTAGTAGTTCACTTGGCCAACGGTGAACACATGGCACAAACTCACCAGTTCTGTACTTACTCATAGGATACAGGGTGATCATAAGCAGCATACTGCTAATAAATAACTAAAAGTGTATTTTTTCTATAATCACTAAAACTGTTACTTAAGTCAGTGACAGTCAGAAATCGGAAGTCCCTAAAGATGTCCCCCATGGTCCATTCATTGGTACTTCGGTATGATCTATCCTGATCAGAGATCAGAATAAATCAAGTATATCAATTTATTATTAGTCAGGTAAAAATGTATCATGCCAATTACATAATTAACACTGGAACCGCTGTATACCTAAAAGAGCCAGCAGGTAAATTTTACCCACGCACATGGCAACTGTATTTATATGGCTAAATAACAGATTATTTCACTGTATTATGCTACTGTCTTCACAAAGAAGTGTCTAGAGTCATGAAATGATTATGTCTAGTCATCAACTATATTTTTATCCTGTTGTTTTATGTTCAAGAATTATTAATGCAGGCTACACTAATCCATAATGGTCAGTAGCCTAAGCTAAAATAAAAAAAGCCTGCATTGACAATGGAAATTAGAAGGTAGTAGCCTAAATATTTGGGTGGTTTAATATTATAATACAATGTCATTAATGAATATATTAAGATAACCCATGCTATGAATGACTTAAAAAGTCTATAGACAATAATGAGCAATAATAATTCACCACACTGCATAGGATGATGCGATGACAAATTCAAGTGCACAGCTTCACCTAAATATTTATTAATTTGTTTAGTTATATCATTTATAATTTGAATAAGAGAACAACACCATTAAACTTTGGGTAATCAAAAAATGGTTTTATTCATTACATCATACAGATCAGATTTTTTTCTTCTTCAAGAAATGGCCAGACTAGAATAGCAACACAGTAGTGAACAATAAACAATATGGCAAGACAACAATTAAATAATTAAACCAAAGTTTGACCAATTAGAGTAACGTTAGGCTAAAACATGTAAATATGATATCTGGATCACTGTCAGATGGAGCCGTCAGATGCTGAGCCGAGCCAGGACGCATAACTTACCATCAGACTCCATCACTCATGGCATTTGGTGTTTCTAATACCTACCTTCCATACATCGCCTTTGTTTTTGTCATTTTGACT